CGCAAGAGTGAGCGAGGACCTGGATCAGCCACAGTCCTCGTGGCTCACGGGGTTTCTGCTAAATAACAACCCCTAAATGAGACTGCATGGTGACAGGGTGCTGCAGCAGCACGGTCCCCCCCCTTCCCAGGACCTACAATATCCGAGGACCATCATATCAGACGGGCATAAGAGGGTAAACAGCCCTGATTTTGGCCTTCTTTTCAGAGGCAGGGCTAGGATGGCATGGCTGTGTTTGTGATGGGGAGCTATTTTAACTGGTTTTGCCCCCCAGCAGGGACCCAGCATGCCACCAGCCCCAGGACTGACCACCCCGTTGTCCTGCTGGGACTCCAGAACCGGCTCCAGCCCAAACACACCTTCAGCCACTTGGCATCACCTGCACTATTGGCATGAGGGATACAACTGTTAATTTAAAATCCATATGGGGCATCATTTAACCATGCCCTTCAAATTATTTCAAGAGCTGTTTCCCAGTATAGGCTGAAGCCGCTCTTGGTTGACTTCTACACAGGAGCCCAGGAAAGAGTGACCCAGTTAAGAGCTTCTACAGGTGGCAGAAGGGAGGTTGGGGAGAAGAAGCAGAAACCAGGTAATGCACGTCCTGCAATGTGGTGTATAATTTCTAAGGATAGAAAAGTCCCCCGGTGAGGTAAGTCCCCAGATCCCTGCCTTGAAGTCTACTGCACCCCAAGCTCCTGCAGCCAGCAGCTTTCTCCCCATTTCATGTGCTGCTCTGCTGGCTTCTCTGGTTTAGGCAAGTGAAACCATGCACCGGCATCTTCGCTCTGGATCTCAACCATAAGGACTGCACCAAGCTGGCCAGGTTGACGTCTACAATCATAAAAAAATAACAACCTAGATATATACATATATATATGTATCTCAGCCAAAAAAAAAGTCCTTGTAGATACCTCGTAGACCCCACCTGGGGCAGGGGTACCTGGTCTAAGGCACCAGACGCCAATAGCTCTCCTGCTGCCACGCTGCAACATTTCCTCCTGCACGGACACTGCTGATTTCAAAGGAATCTGGGTCAGGTAAGGATTTATCGTGATGTCTTTCTGGACAAATAGCTGCTGCTGTGGTTCACACTTGCAAGGTTTTCTCTGCAAGGCACTGACTAGCACGCATTTCACAGGGACTTTTTGCAAAGCCTACTTAGAATGCATGTGCCTCCCTTCAGGTGATATTTGTCAGATTCCTACTATGGAAATGTTTTTACCTCCTGACAATACCCTTTAGATAGTGCCTATGGAGGTGGATGACTCAAGCTTGACATGATGATTTCCATCCACCATTTTTTATTAAAAATACTCCGAGTGGTTCGTAATGTGAAGACAGAAGCTGGATTTTAAAGGGATGTGGAAACCACAGAGTATGCACAAATTCTGCCACAATTTTATGTCAACCAACAACAGCCAGAAAATCTGTATGTAAAACAGTTCCTTCCAGCCTTAATTTATAATCTCATGCCCAGAAACCACTAAGCATATGGCAATAACATCCATCGAGACCCCACCGTACTTTGCAGTCCCTAAGAGACAGGTTATGGATGGCCTGCCACTTTCAACTTTGTCATTTACTTGATGTTACAAAGTTAAGTATTGCCTAATATAGCTTTCTGCAAGTTAATTCCCTTTGTGACGGTGACAGCTTCTAAAAACCCTCACGCTACTACAGAACTGCAAATAGCAAACACCGCTGCTAGGAATAGACAAGCCATCAGCAGAGTGACCCGCTATCTCTCCAGCCTCTTTCCTTGCTGCCAGCATAGTATTTAAAGCAGGATGGAAAAACACAGAGCGGAGCTAAAGTCGACAGATGGCTGATGCAAGTCGGAAAAGTTTTCATGGGAGAAAAATAACCGGTCGGAGAAGAGGCAGAGCAGCACCCTGAGCACGCCATGCATTCATCCGAAAACCCAGGCTCCTTCCCCCTTAGCGTTACTTGAAGTTCGAAATATTTTTCATTTCCTGACCTCCCTATTATCCGTCATCCACCGCCCGCAGGCCGCAAACACGGAGCGCTGGTCGGCGTTCGCTGCGGGGACGTGCAGGGGGGGACACGCCGCCTCCCAGCCCTGCAGCATCCCAGAGCCCACACCTGCACAAATCCCTCCCGAAGGAACCGGCGTTGAGACATGCAGTGCTCAACGTGGGGAAAAAAAAAAAATCTGCTGGAAAAAACCTGATGGATCAGGTACTTGTTGGAGCCTTGAGCACAGAGGAGCATTATAGAAAATTCCCACCGACTTCCCCGATTTCAAACCTTTAATAACTTAATATGTGTGACTGGAATTTCTCAATAGGCTGGAACTCCCTGGGGACCAAAATCTCATTGAAAAAGACACCAAGGAGAATTTGGCATCGCTTTCCCAGCCTGTAAGATTAAATGCAAATATGTTATTGGCACCGAGCTATCACAGCTTGATATATCCACAAAGCTCCCATACACTGACATTAACTTCTCAAGGAAGAACATTTTGTTACTCACCCTGAGATAGTTTATGCTTCAAGGCAGAAAGACTATTTCTGTTTTGGGTTTGGGCAGTCAACAGTGGTACCTTCACCAATTACCAGCACACCCTAGCACTGATCTAGTCTTAATGACAAAATACAGTAAGATACTGACTGCTGACCCAATATTTCATACAATTTCCAGCTATTCTGGCAGCTGGCACGCAGAAAAGTATCTCAAGCTTCTTATGCTGCTCTGGCTTCAGCAGACACGGATCAATCCGGTACCACTTCTGTGTTTGCAGGTGGAAAATAATGGCCTGAGGTTGAGCTCTTCTCTGCTGGGCTAAGAACTGGGGCATATCTTCATGGCAAAGACACAAAGCCCTCGAAAATAGGTGTTTGTAAAGCAAAAGGCTGTCAGAAAAAAAATATAACTAAATTCTAACAAGAAGCCTGTGCTTAACAGGCAGAGAATAAATGGATGATTAGTTAAAGAGCTCTAACCATTCTCCCGAAGAACGAGGGGGATACTCTTTGTGAACAGAGATGAATGAACTCTGCTGCTCTCCAATTCAATAGCACAGTCATAATGGGGCACCGACCACATTAAATGGATGCAGCACTCGCATTAGCGGCGACTCGGCTGCTGCCTTCTCAAAAGGCAGCTCCTCTACACCTAAATCACTTCATTTGCCGTTAATTAACGGAGATGATCCGCAGCCTCTCGAGGGCTGGTTTCTCCTTGGGGAAGGGGGATCTGGCTGTGTGTCCCACTGCCTCCCCCAGCAGCTGCTCCCACCCCGGGGCCACCGGTGGGAAGGCGATGCCCAGAGGGCTGGTGAAGCCTGGAGATCACCTGACGTGGCTTGGGCTGACAGCAGGGAGATAGGGGAATGTTGGAAAGGAGACAGGGCTCCCATCCCATGTCCAGCTATAGACCATTTCCAGGCAGACAGCAGGGGGACAAATCAAGGACAAGTCTCTCTCGTGCAACGGGGTGGCCCCGACAGCGGGTTGCTGCCCTGATGCCACTTGAATCAGCTCTTGATGGTCTGCAAATCTCAAAGGCAGTTACAGCAGAAGTGCTCTAATCAGGGTAGGCATAGCAGAAATACCCTTGTTCTCTGCATTTGAAATAAACTGCGAGACCTCATCCCATGTCCTCCTGACTGCTCAGCCAACCCCTGTCATCCTGCATCCTGAATGGGGACAACAGCTAAGCTTTACCTTGCAATGTAATGTGTCATCTACAGGATGCCAAGCCAGCTCAGATCTGCTCAACAACTTAAATCTTCAAGCAGAGCTCCTGTAGCCCAGAAGAGCCCAGAAGATGCGTCTGTGGTCCTTGTGTTCCCAGGGTCTTAACCAAGCTGCACTGGAAGTCATTTCTCACATTGCATCTATGTGCATTCAGCACGTATTCATTGGGAAAGAAAAGAAGCAGCTACAAGTACTCAGAAAACACTGTGTACTCAAGATAAGTTAATGTAAAGCTCGCAAAACCAAATCCAAAGGTTCCAAGTTGGCAAAGGCTTGAAAACTAAGGTCTGATTTATCAAACCAGAGGTGAAAAGGAGGAGGGTGAGCAGAAATGTTGGCCTTCTGTTTTGCCAAAATGCCTCCAACCTGTCCTGGAAGGACCTTTTCCGCCTTGCACCAACCCCTTGCTCATTTCCTCATCAAGTTCTCCATCAAGACCACTGATTATAATCATGGCTTTTACCAAATGGCCACTGGGAAGCAAACCAAGAGCTTCAACTTGTTCCACAGCCCTCGAAGACCAGCTGTCAACAATATTAACTTTTGCTTAGAAATTACCCTGGTGAGCCACAAATTGCCTACGAGAGAGATCTTCCCACTGAAAACCCGACTGGGAGTATACCTGGCCTCACACGCCGTCTGTGGGGCAGAAGCGGTTCGCAGCAACCATTTTCTGGGGAGGAAATTATGGGATTCTACAGACAGCAGATGTGGACAACCTTCCTGATAGCCTTTGCCAGCCTGAGGCTGGTCTGTGCTCCCAATCACTGACCTGGAAAAGGGAATTTTAAAGCTCTTTCAAGCCTCTTGAGCCACAAGCCACCTCCACACATCTTGTTATACTGAGACACAGAGAGAAATCCCACTTTTGAACAGCCACAAAGCAAATGAGAAGACTTGCTAGGAAGACAGACTCAGCTCCGCAGGTTCCCAGGAAAGGCTAAAGACATCTTTATAAAAAGACATTAGCCTAACTTTTTCTCTTGCAAAGTTTTGCCCATAAAAAGCGGCCTTTCTCTTTCAAAAAGCTGCCTTATTTCCAGGCATAAAGACAAAATCTGAGGCTAAAATCAGTCTAAAGCTCTCAGCATAACTTTGGTCGGGGACCTTTTCTTTGTCCCTGATCTGCTGAGCCTTCTCACTTCTGACCTGCCTTTTGCTCCTCGCTTCACGGGGAGAACACCTCCGGTTTATTGCCTGACAACGCCACAGTTAAGGTGAAAACGAGCCTTTCCCTCTTCCCAGCCCAATTTGGAAAACCGCAAGGACGTTGCTCACCATCCAGTTCCTCCACGGAGATGTTGGCGAGCTGCTCGCTGTCGCTGCCGGCGGAGAGGGAGCGGTTCAGGTAGTTGCCTTTGTACAACAAGCCAGCTGTTACATGGTGGAATGGCATCTTCTCCCTGGGCACAAGAGAAAAAGGAAGAGGAAGGCCTACTTTAATTATTTGTCTTTGTTCTATTTGAATAGTACAACAGCCTGCCTTGAAAGAGTCGCCGGAGCAAAGCGTCCTACACCAGGGAATGCGTGTTGAAGATGGGCGCACGACTGACGGGTCGCAGATTTTATGTAGTGTCTGGGAGCTAAACAAACAAACAAAAAAGCAAGCAAACAAAAAATCTTCTTTACGCCGAGCAGGAGTTAGCAGAGACAGAACAGTGGTGCCTCAGGACAACATGAGTCTCTAGCACTCATACTGCTGCTCCCAGCTGAGAGATTTGCCATTCGATAATAATTATACAGTGCACAGGGGTCTGCATAGACATGCAATTAAAAAGCCACAGAATCCAGCAGCATGACTTTCAAAGCCATGCAAGGGGCTGGACACCAGCTCTCAGACCCTGCTCCGAAGCATCGAGGCCCCTGAGATGGTGTGGCCCCCCAGCCCACAGCATCCCTGCCCGGCGAGACACACGTCGTGCCGGTGCCTCTGCTCCTGACTTCGGTGGCCCTCGCTGCAAGAGGAAAATTCACATTCGAGCCGGGCCCAACAAAGAACATTTTCATCTCACAAATATGACAGCTACGGAAAAATACTGCTCCATGGGAGGCTGTAGCAGAAAAGTGTTTGCAAACTTAGCAGGTATAAACACCGCAGCCTAGTGAAGGGCAGCCATCTGCACAGACAAAAGTGGAAATTACTGTCAGCAGCACTTACACATTGATTTAGGATACACAAGAAAGAGGCGAGTTTGCCAAAGTCAATTGAAATATTAAGAGGAAGATTTGTCATACCCTTGGCTGGTTTCAATCAGCGCAGCCCCATCGCGGGCCCATTGCGTTTTGTACTGTACATTTCCACCCAGACACCCACGCAGGGTCTGGCCCAGGGTCTCCACGGGGGCTGCAGATATAAATCAGCAGAGTCAACAGAGCCACCCAGACACCCACCCAGGGTCTGGCCCAGGGTCTCCACGGGGGCTGGAAGGTGGCCAGGACACGCTGGGCAGTACAGTTTGGAACGGACCGTTAATATAAATTAATATGGCAACTTTGGCAGATCTCACTCACACCAGCGGGGGGGACACAGCCCCTTGGAAACAAACTCCAAGGGCATCCTCACTACAGCCACGCCGGGACACCAGCCTGCTCTGCCATAAAGAGATAAGTGCCACCTACTGAATCGTTCTCCAGCCAACACTACAATTACAAGGATGATCTGGCTCTTACTCAGCCATATGTTCTTACCACAGTCAATAAAACAAATATATATACATATATTTCATTAGCTTTGTAACAAATGTCTTCTTGTCTCACTGAGTTAGTAAAAGCTTTAATAGACTCACCAAGAGCAAACTAACCTCGAGACACAGGAAAGAGAAGAAGAAAAGCCATGAGGTTTCTCTTGCACTGCTCAGCACGTACCTAGAATTTCTCTTGCAGTAATTATGTAAATAAATCCTAATCGTAATTTTAAGTATTTTTATTTGGGAGCCACTTTCTTCAGCAGCACATTAGAAACCGTAAACAAGGTTTTCTTTTTCATTAAGCATATCTGTAATTTCCCAGCACTTGCCAATTAATGTATTTCATTCTGATATATTGCTCACTCTGACATATTGCTCTGCTAAGACGGCAATTTTACCTACCCAGAGGGAGACACGGAGGCAACGCCAGGTTTATACCGCTCCAGGTCCTGACAAGTGGGGCTGCAGAGACTCTTCCAGCCCTTTGCACCATCTCCATCAGCTCCCCGTCCCACCACACGGTATTCAGGCAGCAATCGATCCATGTATTCTCTTGACAATCACACGCCCAATATAAAAGCAATTACACTGATTTTTCAAAACCCTATCAAATTAAAGAGATTTAAATCTAACACCTGCAAAGGCCCAGGTGGACCCTGCACTGTGAGAGCAGCGTTTGATAAGCCCATGGGGCTGGGGACTGATGCCAGCACCGGCCCTGGGTGAAGGGAGCTCAGACCCCCACGCTCCCTGAGCTCACCCACCATTGGAGTAGCCTCAAGCCATGCATTTAGGTGCACTAAAGCATTTCTGAAATCACTTTCTGTGCCTTCACTTCTACAGCCATTAAAAAAATGACAATGCATCTCCCTCAAGGGCTGAAGTGCTCCCACCTGGGATCCTGTAATGCGTTTTAGTACTGGAGGGGGACCCATGATATCCCAGAGTGAGAAATCCTGGATTAAATTCTACCACCTAGGTATACTATTATCTTTAAAATTGCAATATTATTCAACGGAAACCCTGCAGAGCTGCTGAATTCCAGCAGCTCTCAGCCTGCCTCCAGTTTTAACAGGAGATGCTCAAAACCAGACCAGCAGCAGCTCCAGTGCCAGATGTCCGACAGGGATGTGCAGCCGTGCTCCGGGATGGCTCAGCATCCTGCAGAAGGGAGCCTGCTCTCAAAACCCAGGGGCGGGGGGACACAACAGCAAAAAGGGGCACTGCGAGGTGTGGGTATTGGGGAGAGCTCATCAAGCAAAGCACCGCATTTTGCAAAGCCCCCCCGCTGTGTTGAAACACCTAAAAAGCTTCATGGAAATGTGCAGGTGGCCGATGCCCACCTGGGAACAAGAGGTCTGTCCTAGCACGGCCAGACCGGTCCAGGCTCATTTTGAATTTAGCCAAAATGTCCACATTAGAGACACAATAACCTTAAGCTTGCCCACAGCTGCTCCTTCCAGTGCCAGCTGAGACCCTGGGTAGACTCAAACCACAGAAGACCCGGTGCTGATGGGATCCAGCCCACACCACGGTGATGCCCTTCCTGGGTGCTCGGTCAGCAGCACATGCTGGTGCCGGAGGGCAGGGTGCCAACAGATTTCTGTCTCTTTAACATGTTAAATTCGCATTAATGTGCGTTCACCTCCTCTGGATGGGAACGGGGAAGATGCCCCAGCTCTCCTCCCATTTCACAGAGCTGTACCTCCGAGCAGGCAGCCAGCAGCGAGCTCTGCTCCCCATCTCCCAGCTCTCGAGACAGACACATTTTCCACTGAGCAACTCGCAAACTGAAAGCAGTTTTCAAAGGCAGAGTGGGATTTTGGAGCAATGAAACCTCCTTGAATAATATCATGAAAACATTGACATTTAACCAAAAAGCCCTCAAAGAACCCATAAACATGTGTATGGAAATGTTACCATGGTACCTTGCCAAGGTTTCAGTTCTCTGCGCCAAGCTCACCAGCAGGTTACATCCCCCGTAACGCCCGGCAGCAGCTCTGCCAGCCTCGCTCTTTCCTTGCAGCACAATCACATTTGTGAAATTTATAAGATGTTCGTAAGCAATTTGCCATCGGGAGGAAAAAAAAAAAAAAAGAAAAAAAAAAGGCATTTACACGATGCTCACATGTCTACGCTCGCTCCGGTTTGCATTCCTCACCGGCTCTTGTCATATGTTTTTTTAAAAGGCTTTCAGACCCAATTGAAAATCCACACGACGACTAAGCTGGAAGGTTTAACTTAAGTATCAGTCAACAAGATGGAATCAGGATCAATTTGTATTGATCCTGGATGTCCCTTGGTAGTTACCAATTTGGAAAAGATTTCTTGCTAACCTCTCTCCTACGTGCAGCACAAAATGATGCCCAAGAGTCAATCCCGGTTTTACAGCCTCAGGCTAAAACACAGGAGATCATTTGCCCTGCCTGGATGTTATACCTGGCCGGAATCATGTATTCAGCTGTAATTTGGTGGATCCTGGCTGCTGCCCAGCAGGTTTTATGGGACCTGGGCTAACAGGTCCCCATCCTGAATGCCAACTGGCCCCACAGCCACAGTCCCACGGGTGTCAAACAGACCAGGCAGAAACGATTCTGGTGGAGAAACATGGGAAGATGGTAAAATTGAGATCTCCCTCTCTCCTACAAATCTGGCTGAGGTTGAGCAGAGGGTTCAAGCTGATACTATGGGAAAACACACACACACGGTTGGACAAGCACACACGTGCAGTTCAGCAGCATAAGACTCATTTTCTCAGGAAAGCAGGCTTAAAAAAAAAATACAGGAATACATAGAAAATCCATGAAGCAACCAGATGGTAGAGAAACTGGAACTGTATCTGTAAAGTTCCCCAGCTCACTCTAAAACCCTTTAAAAATTCATCAAATGAAGTAACGGTGCTAAAGACACTTCTCCCTGGGCAGAGCAACGTTATAACACCTAAGGCAAATAAGAGCAGTGACTTCCAAAAACAAAAAAAAATATCTCATTTTCCCCAGAGCCGAACGATTGCCATTATCTTTTCAGGTAGACTGTGTAGTATCTATCAGGATCCAAAGGGAAGAGCAGAATAAATAGACCTGGGAAATTCTTGGGCGATTTGCTCCTCCATGTTCTGGGCATGAGGCATCAGTCAGGGGACACAACCAATTGTCCAAAGAGTCTTTATTGCTGCTCTGGTTCATTTTCCTTTCGTCGTTGCCCCTGCCCACATCCCTTCCCTCTCCCTAGGAGGCAGTCACAGCCGAGGGTCGTGGTTATCCTGTGGGAGCAACAGAGCTGGACCAAATCCCCATCTCTCTGTTTACAGTCAATATAGTTAAGGGAACACAAGTCAAGCATTTTGTTGCAGCCACGTGGCTTTGGCAAAATCCTCCCCCTAAGAAGAGCACTAAGTCACTTTGTCCCTTATCACCTGCATTCACTGATGCTAACGACAGCTTTAAAGATTTATTTATTTATTTCCAATTTATTGTGTGCAAAAACTTGGCACCTCAATTACAATATGAGCCCAAGATACCAAAGCTAGGAAGTCTGAAGGGCCCAAAGAGTGTCATTTTGGCACTGGGAGGAGCCCTGAGGATGCAGAGAAGGGGAAGGGGAGCACATCGAGAGCTCCGTAATGAGGTGTGAGGATTTAAGCTGCTGCAATAAAATAAAATACTTGTATAATCAGTCTCAACTCAGGTGCATAAAGAGACATGGGAATGAAAGCG